TTAATATATCTGTTTATACCCTCATAAGGCAGGAATTAAGTTTATTAATACTGGCAATCTTTCAAGAATGGAATGGCTGCCACTTTTGCACCTACAGAAATGTACCTGCATGGCAAACACAGGAAGGTAACCGTGATCAAGGGTGCTACGGCTCGTTGGATCCCATAGGTTAAGCCTAGTTAGAGGCAGCCTGGAAAATGCTCTCCCCACAGTGAGCTGCTAACAAGATCACAGATAGGTGGCTAGAAAGAAAGGAAGTTTCAGGCTAGGGATTAGCTGGAATACTACTTTTGTCAGCTATAAAAGCAGGAACTAACCTTAAACTGTAACCGATCTGGTGAGAAGTCAAAAGTAATGACGATATAGCAGTTAGTATTTGCTAAACGTTTATTGGTACTTTATATGGATTACTGCATTTAAACTTCACAAGAGCCCTGTGCGGTACATACTATTATCATCCCTTCTTTAAGACAAGGCTAGAGAGGCTAAGCAAATTGCCCAGGATCGGTAGTGATAGGAAAATTCTTTACTATGCCATATTGCTTCACTCATTATTTCGGATATCAGTTAGCACCTTATCGGGAATTGGGTGAAAAATAACCCATGAGAGGCATCTGGAATCAAGGAAGGTCTTCTACAGAATATGGGTACTGTGTGGGACAAAAATGAGACAAAGCAGGTACTCAGAACAAACTTTATCTCACAATGTTTTCTAGTTTCAGCTTCAGCTACATTATTAAAATGTCATCTCAAAATACTCAGCTAGTACATAGGTCATAAAATGCTGATCACTGGTCCAATAGAGATGCATTTGCTACTACTGAAAATCTTGCAATTAAAACCACAAATATTATACTACTTCTCAAAATACATGTTCTTATATAGCTTACAAACCAGGGCTTAAAAAATTCTTTCTTTTTGAATTAAGACACAGGAAAAAGATGTGTCTTTCAAAGACGACGAGCAAAAGAAAACTGACCAAAGGTAAATGATATGAGACGCTATTCCTCTGAACACATTCAAGGTTCCTGGTGATGCCTCAGATAACGTCAATTCCATCTCTGGTATGAAACCAGAAAGTTAAGGACACCTGAGCCTCTTCTAAAGTACAGCCAAGGTGCCCACTATTTAAAATGGTTATTAGCATTC